AAATTTAGGAATAGGTTCTAAATTTACAGAAAAAATAGACCCCTAGATTAATAGAAAAATAGAATGACCCATATCCATTGTGATGTGGTAATTTTGGAACAAGCTGGCAAAAGTAGGTGTATCTCGTACTTCACAAATCTGTCTTTGCAAATGATTTGTTAACTTTTCAATTTGAAATTGCTTGATGGGATGTTTGGAAACTTTTGAGAAAATAGGATGGTGAACATCCTTTTTATTGATTAAAGAGTTGTATATTTTGCATTTTTTTGTGTTTGTGGCAGTATTTGATCACTGACCAGTAAAATGTTTATTACCCGTAAGAAAATATGCTGGACTTTATTTCACAAAATGTAAATATTATTAAACATGCACTGACACAAAAGCAAACAAGCTTGATTAATGAATTATTTGACTATTTCTATGTATATCTAAAGTAGATAAATTTAACATTTTAAATAGAATTTAAATAAATGACTTAGTGATGGATAGTTTTTGTGACTTCTTTAAACACTTATAGTGCAAAAATATCCTGTATAATAAGTATATTAACTGCGTGCACAGTGATTGGGCGCTAGCTATCATGTGATGGACTATGATATGTTTTACACAGTACACAAAACCATGTACATTTAAAGTAGATAAAGTATTAACAGTAGTTATAACCAGTTGTGATGCAAGTGAATTGGTATTGGAATGACAGCAACACCTCAGTTCAAATATCTAATCTTGGCCTGTTGAATTGGAAGTCAAGTCAACATGAGCTGCGAGTTATTTGGCAAGAGGATGGGATTTGGGGAAGGGACAAACATGCATGATCAGAGGAAGGAGAAGCGTCAGAGATTAATCGTGTGATCAAAGTAGTATCAGATGTATTGTGTGCGGCACCACATAAACTACAATGCCATGTTGTTAATTTTTCCAACTGAAGGCGTCATTGTACAAGCCTAGAATGGTTTAGAAATGTTACCTTTTGAGGTTGTACAGAAGCAGTTAATGCATTGTCACGTGTTATTGTAAAAAACTGCATGATTCTGTAAAGAGAAATTTACAGGAAAATGTTACTCAGAATTCTCAGAGCTGCCATCCAAGTGTAGATTGTACAAAGGAACTGTAGCAAAAACTAGTTAGTATCAGGTAATTTTCTGTCAAGTTTAAAGAGTTTCAAGCTTAAATTGCACATTTTATGTAGATGTAAAACAATATGTTGAGAGACTGTTCAATCATGATAGAGGCTCATGGTTAACATAATAATAAAATGAGTGGCGTGCTATCAAGGAATAATATGCCAAACAGTGTGCAAAATAATGTGTCCCTGAAACTGTTTCCTGGCGTGGTTAACAGGTGCCCAGGCCTTTTTTAATACGCTATAGGCTGTTTTAGATGGATCCCAACCCGAAAGGTAAAAATGTGGCCATACATAAAACTTCAGCAACAAAAAAACATTTTTTCAGTATAAATTTTGTCTGCTGTTTAGCCTCAACATCCCCCTCTCGATTTGGCCCCAGCCATGCATTCCCTAGATGTGGAAAAACTACACAAATATTCCGGATTTATAGTTGTTACACTTCAGACTATCTACCCAACCCCTTCCCCGCCCCTCATTCCATCACTCACGCAGTGCGGTCAACCCGTTGGTTGGTGTGTTCTGCCCACCTCCCGGTCGCCTGTGTATCCGGAGGTGTCGGTTGAGGTTCCCGGACTGGCTGAAGGAGCGACAGCAGACGCGGCACTGGTACGGCTTCTCCCCCGTGTGAGTCCGTCGGTGGTTGCTCAGCGTGGAGCTGTCCGAGAAAGACTTTGAGCAATAGGTGCAAGGGTAGGGCCGCTCGCCAGTGTGTGTCCGCATGTGGGTCTTCACCGAGGAACTCTGCAGGGGCCGAACGGGAATATTAAACTGTAAAAAATTAACTGGATAAAATTTTCTTTGGCTTCAGCAGTTGGGCGTATGGTCGTGCTAACTGCGTGTGAGAGGAACCACCAGAAAATTACGTAATACACGTACATCACACAGAGAGTAATGTTTCCTCGCTCAAGGCATTTAGTTTCTTGTGGTGGCCTTGAGGAGACACTCAAGTTTTCTTTGCAATATTTTCTCATGCAGCACTGTTTGCATAGCAGTTACAAATTCATTTAATCTCAAATTTGTCTGTGTTTACGTAGAAATGTAACTGCATTAAAGTTCATAAACATTACATCACCAATTCTTTAAATAACAGATAGAAATGTTGCTGCAAACTGCATTCTTATCTGAAATTATAATAAATAACTTGAAGAGTCTAGCTTGACGTTTTGATCTTCAAAGAATTCACAAGAGGAAACAAGTTTCAAACAACTGAGGGAAAAAATGTACAGGTTCATAATGTCAAAACGTCCGCAAAGGTAGTTGTGAAGTCTGATGTCCGATAAGAGCCACTTTATCAACTCGGTCTCAAGTTAAAACGTCTTGCCTGCGCAACCAGTTCAGCTAAATAGAGCTTCTCAAACCCGATCTCAACAATTTGCATCAAAGCAAATTTCCTGGGCATTCATCAGTTAATCACGATTAAGCATAAAGCCAAAGGGACATCATTTTATGATTCTGACGAGGGGAAGGTTTGAACCCGAAGTATCTGTTTCTTAGCAAAATAACGCAAGAATTGTTCACACTTTTTAACCGTTTGGAACAAACTGGATGGCTTCTCTGCTTCGTCCGAGAGATAGAGCAAGCAACAGTTTTGTACCCACCTGTGAGAAACTGCGGTTGCACACCCTGCACTTGAATGGTTTTTCGCCGCTGTGGATGCGCATGTGAGCGGTGAGATTGGCAGCCTGCGAGAAACTCTTCCCGCAGAGCTGGCAAAGGAAGGGTTTCTCGCCATAGTGGCATCGCAGGTGAGTCCGGAGGCTGCTGGGACGGGTACAGGACTTGCCGCAGATATGGCACTTGTGGCTGTGCGGGGACTGGTTGCCGTCTTGGTTGTTCCTGATGTCGCTGTTCTTCAGTTTCTGCTGCTGGACAGCGTGGGTGATTAATGTTCCACAACCTCTCTCCGTTGGCATTATTTTTGCGCGCCCCAGGTTCTGGGGTTTGGGCACTGGCGGAGGGGCGTTCACGTTCCATCTTGCACTGGTGAAGTCATTGGAGAGGTTATCGCCAACGGGTCTGCGTATGTTGGAAATACATGTATATCATGCGAAAAGATGACATATTAAAGATAACTTGGCCTTGAACCAGTTGCGAGTAAAATGACTTTCTCTGGTGTCAGAGCGGATTCTGGGTAAACTTTTACTGTACATAGTAAACTCAAGTTTATTCCAATCGAGGTAGGCCCATTCACATCAAAGTGGTTTCCCTTATTGCCTCTTCTAAGTCAGGTATCGGGTTTTTATTTTGTTTGTTTGTTTGTTTGTTTGTTTGTTTGTCCGTGTTTACCTACCTTGTGTAGTACCATGAACTGGACGAAAAGTCTCTTCTGTTCACTGCTGGACTGCCCGCCCAGTAATTGGAATTGATGGCTTTGGAATTGCCGTACATGCCGGTCTGGTACCCTTCCACAGCATGGTGGCGCCCGGATCTGGAATCGGGTTCTGGAGCCGGTTCCCTGGTC